ATAGTAGTAAAAAAAAATCTAAAGGCTATAATTATGATTATAACTATGACTACTATAAAGAATCCTGTTGGATTAAAAATTTTGTAATTGTTCATTAATTCAATAGAGTGGCTGTTAGAGTAACTTAGGATATGTCCACAGACAGAATATTGGCCACTTGTTAAAATCCAGCTGTATGTGGGCAATAACAAAAAACCCCTTCATCCATGTAGAAGCAACAGGACCCAAAAGCCAGAAAATAAGGGAGAAAAGGAATAAAAATGAGGACTGGTGGAATGAACTCAGGATTAACTTGCTATCAATTTAAGACAGATTTAAAATTTAACCCTATATGTAAATCACACATTAACCTCAGAACAAAAATAATTAGAGGAAGCAGAGATAACAAATGGAAAGAAACAGTACTCAAAAGGTAGCTTTCAAAACCCTTTATCAACTTCACACCTTATAAAAAATTAATTCAAAATGAATCATAAGCTTAAATGTAAAACATAAAATTGTGCAACTTTTAGGGGAAAAAACAGGAGATAAACATCAAGCTCAACAGCTAGGAAAGAGATATTTTAGAGTTAATATAAAAAGCACAATGCACACAAAAAAATTGATTAATAAGATCTCATCAAAATTTAAATTTTTGTTCTGTGAAGGGATTAAGAAGACAAGATATAGGTGAGGATAAAAACAGTTGAAACTGGGCCTCCCTTGTGGTACAAGGGCTAAAGATGGTGTTATCAAGCTGCCCCCAGCCACTGTGGCAAGAGTTCAATACCAGCTAGCCAAGGAGCTGGCCCATATGGCACAGCAGACATCCCCGGTCTCACCCACCAGCTGCTCCCCTCAGCAGTGTGTTTCAGTGGACCAGCCTGTTCTGTTCCCCGCTCTGTCTAAGGTGAATCCTCTCACTACTCTGTGTGTACCTCTGGCCTATACCCCAGTTTTTGTATACATAAGTATGTAAATATTTAAAAAAAATAGTTGAAGTCACATGTCTGATGAAGAAATTGTGTCTAGAATATGTAAGAACTCTCAAAATTCACCCGGAAAAAGAAGAAACACTTCTTCCACAAAAAAGAACATTCCAAGTAGGAAAGGGTCAAAAACATGACTAGGGACTTTAAGAGCTGAAATTACCTATTTTCTTTCTGACATCAGGCTTCAATGTCCTTTTTTAATCTCAAAACCCAAATATGCCACCTTTGCTTACATATTTGTGCCTTTTGAGGTGACTGTCTCTGAAGACTACACCCTGTGGTCTGTGCCACCATAGATATGGTGGCCACCACAGATATGATTTTATGGTATAAAATCAAAAGGGGGGAATTGTTAAGGGGAAGGATGTCCTAAGGGAGCTGTGCAGAGTTTGTGGACTCCACCCCCTACTCCAGCTTTCTGGACTCTACCCCCTACTCCAGTGACCGAAAACTACAACTCCCAGCAGTACCAGGGAGAGAACTGCGAGGACCCAAGGGTGGAGCTAAGCAGGCATTCTGGGACTTTGGGGGATAAATAGGGCACCATTGTGTCTCTTGCTCTGTCGCTCGGATAACAGCTCTCTGGATGGTGTGACTCGGGGCTTTCAGTTAGTTACCAGAGCTCCAAGTCAGCTGAGCCGGTAAGATATTCCAGTTGTTGTTTCTTTTCTTTTCTCCTTTTGTAAATAAACCCATTTTGACCCTTTTGTGTGTGTCTGCAGTACAACTGGATTTTAAGTGCTTGGGTGAGGACCCACAGACAGGCAGCCCAGTTCACACTGGGTGCCCTGTAACAGTTTGTCACCAAATAGGTAGCTTTCAAAACATCACACCTTATAAAAAATTCATTCAAAATGAATCATAGGCTTAAATGTAAAACATTTGGGAAAAGATGTTCAATGTGGCCTCAGTAAAAGTCAAGTTAAAACCACAGTGAGACATCACCACATACCTCCCAAAATGGCTAAACTGAAAGATAGTGGCCACACCAATACTGTTGAGGATGTAGAGAAACTGAAGCACTCAGGCATTGTTAGAAATGCAAAAAGAAAGAACTACTGTGGAGAAAACAGTTTAACAGTTTGTTATCAAACTTACAATGCATGTACCATATGACCCAGCCATCACAATGGTTGAACCAACCACTGGAATATTATGCAACAATTAAAAGGAGCAAATTACTGATAGAAGCAACAATTTGAATGGTTGTCAAGAGTATTAGGCAAGGTTATAAAAGGCAGTACCCTGTCGTCCCTAGTGGTGCAGCGGGTTAAAGCACAGCGCTGAGAAGCTAAAGCCACTTTAGCATGAGTTCGATCCCCGTCCTGGAGGTGATCCACATGGCGTAGCAGACCTCTCCTGACCACTTCTCCCCTCAGCAATATACTTCATCAATCTGCCTGTTCTGCTCCCAGTTATGTCTCTACTGAATCCTCTCACTGACCCCACACCTCTGGCCTGTACCCCAGTTCTGTATGCATAAATAAATAAATCTTTAAAAAATAGGATAAAACCTGCAAAAGAATACTTACAGATGTGAATAAATATTCACACATCTGCAAATAGCTTAAATAGAAATTAAAGTGGTACAAAATGAGATGTGATTTGATACACTATTTGGCCTATATGTAGAAATGTATACATATATGCATCAAAATGCAATTTAAGAAGATATGGCAAAATGTTTATAATGGTTAGTTCTGGATGGTGCAATTGGGTAATTCTACATTTTCTTCTTTGAGCTTACCTGTTCCATATTTGCTATGATAAATACGTATTGTTTTTGAAAAACATGCCCAAAAAGTTGTTTTGAATGCTGATTGTTGGTAATTATATGACTTTCCTAGATTACAAGTCTTTTTATAACCATGTTCTTAGAAAGATCAGGAGAACAGAGGTTATTAGTTAAAGATTTGGGAGCTGCAGCCCAGGCAGGGGGTCTACTTAGCCCAAGCCTCATCCCAGTTATATGCCTGAGTGAAGAGTGGAACTCAGGTCTCCCAGCTCTGATCTTGAGCTTCCACCATCACTACCCTGTGCAGAGCATGATGATGGGCACAGAGAAGACTTCAAAGGTAACAAAAGTCATAGCTCACATAACATTCGATCCAATCCCACCATCATCTACATTATGCCCCCAAATGGTCCAGGTCACTGCTTACAAACTCCCTGTGACAGGGAACTCACTGCCTCTGAAGGTGACCCCTTCCTCTCTAGAGCTGCTCTAGCTCTCAGTCAATTGTCCGGCATTCCTACTGACCCCAAATCTATGCCCACACCTCCACCTTCCTTCAGTCCTCTTAATTCTGTCCCTGGACTACACAAGTAAGCTTAACAGACACCCTTTCCTGTGGTAGCCCTGAAGAATTTAAGAAAAAAAAATCTTGCTCGGTCCCTACTTCCTAGGGGTGGAACTCCAAACTGTTAATTTTCTAGGTACAGATCCTGAAACCCAAAGAAACTGGATGCCTTGCTTACCGAAGGGCACAGAGCAATTTCATAGATGATAGTTGTGTGTCTGCCACGATACAGCACTCTGTTGACTTTTAAGATGGCTGCCATTACTGTCACACTGGTGTACCATCTGGATTCCCCTGTCAGGATTAGGAAGAGGAAAGGAAGCACAGGAGATGCCTCAGTGCCCGGCCTGCTCTGGAGCCCAGGTAGGGCGTCTACTTATCCTAAGCCTCACAGAGATACAACCATCAACCTGCCTTCTGCATGCCCCAACTCACATGCCTTGGGCCTACGAACTACTTGCAGGCCTCCCCAACCCTTCAGGTCTCACCAGAAAGGCCTGTGGAAGAGAATGAGAGGAAGGAAAACACTGTTTCTGCGCCTCCTGTTCTGAGGCGCCCTTGTACAAGTCACTTCTCTTTCCTGGGACCTCACTTCCTCATATGCAAACCAGGGTGCAGGTCCTGTCCCTATATGACATCAGGACCCCCATGAGGCTCCAGTAGGACCAGGAATAGAGAAGCACATACAAAAAACAGAAACCTGAGGCCGATAATGGAGGTGGATATCGATGTTTGAAGTGGCCCGAGACCGCCTTCCTTTTCTTCTCATCCATTCATCCAGTCCTGGACCTGGTACTAGGAATATAGATGAACCACTGGTAGTAGGGGAACCACCTTCAGGAGTAGCCAGGTAGCCAGGTAAGGTGCGGGGAGTGAAGGGGAGGGGAAGAAGCAGCCTGATGGAATATAAAGGAGTAAACCAATGATAGTATGATCAAGTTCAGGGTTCTGTGGGAGAATTCAGAGATACAGAATCAACTCAGTCTATGAGGTATAAGGAAGGAAAAAGCCAACTTGGGCTGAGAATTGAAGAAGGAATGCTGCGAGTTTGTCCTGGTAGACAAATGGGAAAGATCATAGGTGACTAATAAAAGCAAATTGTGGTACTGATAAAGGTTTTCCCTTCAGGTCCAATCAGGGCTTTCAAAGGTCTAAGCAAAGACCCAGAGATGTCCTGGGGAGACTGGGCATGGGAAGAGGCTGGTTCTGTTTCAATGCTCTGAGGAGACAACATTACGTAGACCGTAGACTGGAGAGTTTCGAATAAAAGGCCTTCTGGGTCTTTCAAAAGTCTGAGATTCTGAGCTGAAGCTGATTAGAAGGAAGACTGTTTTCCCTCCATACCAAGAGGCGGCATCATACCTCGTGACTAAAGAAGGATTTGAGCCAAAGTTGCACAATCACAAAACTCTCAAGTGGGCTTTGTATGCTCTTGCAGCCAACCTCAGTCATGCACAGGCTTTTCTTCCCTGAGGGCCCTTCATGTTTCCAGAATTCAGTTTTTATTTAGCATCCCATTCTGAGCCGCTCCACAGAGGGCCTGGGCCCCACTCCTCCTGCCAAGATGAGAATCTGTGAAAGAGCACGTGGGAGGGGAAGGATCCAGGAAGAGCTGCCAGCCAATGGCCAGGGGCCTGGCAGCAGAAACAGCCCAGCCAGCACCCTGCCCCCCGACAACTCCCAGCAAGCACCCATGCCCTACAGAATTCTTTTCTGGTTCTGACACATGGTCACCAATTTCTTCCTTATGCATCAGAGACCTGCTCCCTTAAAACTCAGGTTCAGTGAGCCCATTAAACACGGTTCTCTTCTGCCAAGAGTTGAAGCTGTTGGGTTCTCTCTTTGCTCTCAAGTAAGTAAACTAAATACCACCCAGGTTCCAAAAAATTACTCAGAATGGAGAGGAAGAGGAGTTGAGGGGAATCTCTAGATCAGTTCTTTATGCTTGTCCAGAGAAAATGGCGTCTGAGCTGGGACTGAGAGCCTGGAAAGGAGAGACCACAGACTCGGTGACTGGTGGGGCGATGAGACAACGAGAGGGGTTGGGGTGAATCCAGGCTCTGGCTCAGTTGATGAGTTAGTTGGTGGTAGAAATGCAGAAGGAAAAGTTAGCTGAGGGGCATATGTAACCAGTTAACAGCCCATCTGCTCTTCAAAATTCACCTTTTATAAATAACTGGACAGTCAAGAGAGAGGGAAAGATAAAGTTTTGTATTCATGATAAGCAGTTGCATTGTGAAATACCAACTATGGGGAAGCAGTTACAATAGTTAATGTTTTGAAACTGGGCAGAAAATGTCTTGCAAAATCATCCGAGTTTTTTTGTTTGTTTGTTTGTTTTTGTAAAAGTGGATGTACGTGTCTGTGTATGAATTTTTTGAACAAAGAAATAACAAATACCACTATGTGCAAAGTGGTCTTGATAAATCAACAGGAATTTTGGCTATCCCCTTTGACGATGTTCCTCATTCTTTTGTAAGAAACCACAAACATTACATATCTATGTCCTCTGCTGTAAAGAAGATGTGGAGTCTGGACTGATGGTCCCTTGGAGCAATGGCAGAGTCTGAAGGTGCTTCTGCCCCCGACCACTCCACCATGTGAGTGTGTCCTCCCACCTGGTGTCCTGTCTGTGGGGAAGCAGCCCTTGGGCCCAAGCAGCAGCTGAGTGTCTGGTGTTCTGGGTTCTGACTGCACCATTTCTCTTAATCCTGGCAAGTCAGAGGCATCCAGTGAATATCATCAGGATCTCTAGCTTAGGAGCTCACTCTAACTGGGCTGAGGTCAAGATCCTGGAGCAGGAACGGGATAAAGGTGAGGGGCTATTGAGCTGACCTAGAGATACAGGATAGATATTAAATTTAAAAATGTAATAGGACCTCGCTGGTGGTGCAAGGAGTTAAGTCGCAGCGCTATGAAGCTATCCGCAGCCACTGCAGCACAAATTTGATCCCAGGCCAGCGAGGTGACCCACATGGCACAGAAGACTTCTCCTGTCTCTCCCGCTGCTCCCCTCAGCAGTGTATTTCAGTAGATATGTCTATTCTGCTCCCCACTCTGTCTCTGGTGAATCCTCTCGCCTCCCCCCCATACCTCCTACCCCTCAGTTCTTCAACACACACACACACACACACACACACAAACAGGGTCCTTACTAGCTCTGTCTTGTCATCCCCCGCCCAAAACTCATTAGTTTCTCACACTTCCCCCCAAATGCCCTGTGCACATACACAGGGTGTCTTTGGACACTTGACAGAAATCGGCAGAAAGTCCCTTAGCACGTGTTATTCATGTTCTCTGATTACAGAATAACAGCTCATTGTTTTTTCTTCTTTTCCTGAAAACCCACAATGTCGAAGCATCTGGGGATTTTGAAGTTGGCGGTGACCTTGACAGTTTTGGTTGCTTTGGGGGACACTCAGTCATCCACTGGTATTTCATGGGCCTGAGTGGGTCTTCCAAGAAGCTCCACCTAATCACCCTGACATCTTGAGAAGGCATGGCTGCCATTTCCTGGCAATTACTCTTTCCCCTGGGAGAGAGCCCTGGGTCCATATGCAGTTTTGTTTCAGTTCTTTTCACCCATCTTAAGGAGCTGCTCCTCTGTGGCAGCCCACTGCCAGGCTCAGGGGACACAGCTTGGATTTGCTTACAGTCTCAGGGTAGAGACAATTTGCAAACCCACCAAACTTATTAAGTAGGCAAGACTTCAACAGAGGGCTGTCTATTGTCCAGGGGTGGAGTGCAGGGATGGGGGCAGAGAGAATAAGCAACTGGACTTGGTAGGTGAGATCAAAGAAGGCATGGTAACAAGAGGTGACATTTGAAGTTTAAGTTTTGACTTTTTTTAAAAAAAAAAAAGATTATTTATGCATTAGAACTGGAGTACAGACCAGAGGTGCAGAGGTGGAGAGTCAGAGTAGGGAGCAGAACAGGCAGATTGATGAAGTACACTGCTGAGGGGAGCAGGGGGCAGGTCAGGAGAGTTCTGCTGCTCCATGGGGGTCACCTCCGGGGCCATTGAACTCACACTGAAGCGGCTGCGCTTTAACCTGCTGTGCCACCAGGGAAGGCCTAAATTTTGACATCTTAAGGCTAATATTCAAAGGTTTATCAAGGAGTTGATGAAGTAACAAACATCTTCAACAAAAACAGAGTGGCCTGGGCCCTCTCTGATGGTGCACCTGGTTAAAGCGCAGCACTGCAAAGCTAAAGACACTTCAGCACGGAGTTCGATTCCCAGCAGAGTTTGATTCCCTCCCCGGGAGGGCATGCGGTACAGCAGATCTCCCCTGTCTCACCCACTGCTCCCCTCAGCAGTGTACTTTAGTAAATCAGCCTGTTCTGCTCCCCACTGTTTCTGGTGAATCCTCACACACACACACACACCCCTATACACTTATGGACCACACCCCAGTTCTTGTATGCATAAATAAATATTTTTTTAAATGTTATTTAAGGTAGAACTCTACTTTGCTGCTCCCCCGCCCTGCCCCACCTCGTCCCCGCCCCCACCAGGCAAGGGTTGGAAGAGTGCTATTTTCTTGGGCCCTCCTATGCCTTGCTGTTGGGGGCAAATGCCAACCTGGCAACAAGTCTCTGGGCTGCAGTAACCTTCTGCAAGCACCCTTCTCCACAGGAATTCTGGAGGCGATGGGAAGGAACAGGGTTTCTTTTCCCTTCTTCTCTGCCCTTGAGTTTTCCTAAGATTGCACAATCAATTGAGCTAGGGATAAGGTTTCTGTATAGGAGGATCACAATGGACCTGGAAGGAACCATTGTCTGAGGGGAAGTTAAAGTTCATTGTCTCAACATTTCAGAACATCTAGAAGAGAAAGCTTCAGGATCTTTCCTAAAGGGGGAGCCTCCATGAGGACATGCTGCAGTTTCCAACTTCCCTTCCCCTGCTGAGATTCACACTTCTCTTTCTCAACAACCCGCCTTTTCTCAAGCCACCCCACCTGATTCTACTCCTACCACACAGAAATCCAGTTCCCCCCACAGGGAAGGAAGTCTTGCTCTCTGGACCCGCTCACTCCATTTCTCCAAGTTGGCCTCATTCAATCAGAAGAGTTAAGTTCTGTCCCTCAGCAGGGAAGGGAGAAGAGAGGATGTGGTGGTTGTCAGGATGGCCTGCCTGCGAGGGCCCCAATTCAGCTGAGCTTGGTGGATGCCCATTTCCTAGAGAACCGTCAGGGACAAGGACCTCGGAAACCCCAGGCCTAATTCCCAGTGGATTTCCTCTTTGACTGTCATTTGTCTTTAACCCCAGAACTACTTACATTAAGTACACTATCCCCAAAGGAGAAACTGTCGGAGAAACAGTCTAAACACCCAGTGAGCAAAAATAATTCCATTGAAGGAGTAAGGCAGGTGTTCTATTACCCTTTCCCACATTGTCTTCCTAGATAATGTCCCCCACGGCCCCCCACCCCTCTCCTGTGTCAGCATCCCCTGGGTGGTGGGTGCTAAGATGCCAGAGCCTTACCCCAGACTTGCTGAATCAGAGCCTGAAATCTATGCTTTTAACAGGGTCATCTTTCTTTACGGGGGTCCAACTAGGTGTTAGGTCCATTAAGTTTTGGGCACTATTGTCTCTTGCTTCTCACTCTTATAAAAAAGGAAAGACTCAGATTGAACATTCCAGTAAGAATTTTATTAAATTCTTTAGTTCTCCTCATGGTGTGTGTGTGTGTGTGTGGTGTGGCAGATGTACAATATGTGTGTGTGTGTGTTAATAGGCAGCAAGTGGGAGGGGGGAGCAGTTTCTCACACTACACACCAAATGTTCAAGGTGCTTATTTCTTGGTAGTGGGGTTCGTATTCGTTTTTGTTCTCCCTTATCTGCATTTTTCAACACTTCAACAAGAAGCATATATGACTTACATAATGAAAAGAAAACATGGTAGAAGAAGTAACCATGTTCCACTTTCTCTTCAGGCCACCAAACCCTGCTAGTACCGGCTGCCCTTGCCTGGCTTGCAGCGAGCTCACACACTGCGTCAGGAGCTGCACTGACCGTGGGGCCATCTGGAGACACAGGCCTGCCCTGTGCTGTCAGCCAAGGTTTGCCCAGATGGCCTGGTAGGACCTTCATGGGAATCTGAGCATTTAACTCCCAGGGTTCGAGGCACTTTCAGAGGTGGATCCCAGCCAAGATGGGGGAGCCAGGAGGAGGTGCCAGCTCTGGAAAGAGCCCAGGATGGCACCCACCCAAGTCAGCCCACTCAAGACAGCCGCCATGGCCGCTCACTTCCAAGCATGCTCTATTGCCTCTTGAAATCAGGAAACAGACATGAACATCTAGCAAGTTGGTGTTTCTTGTTTACCCGAAAGGCTTTTGCTAAACCTGCAGGTTACACACAGAATGGGGCACATGGCCTGTGCCATAGTTTTCTGATAATTTCATAATTTTCTGATGCCAGAAAATTGCTTATAAAAATTGAATACAGGCCCTCCCTGGTGGCGCAGCGGGTTGAAGCGCAGCGCTGAGAATCTGAAGCCACTTCCGCATGAGTTCGATTCCCACCTGCCGCCTGCCCCGGAGGAGACCACATGGC